CAAGTTCTCTAATAAGACAAGGTTTTACAGTAAAGCTGTAGATGGTGGGCTACAAAAACGCTTTCCTTTTCCTCCTATTGCTCTGAATGCACTTATCAAGGCATGTCAGCTCAGGGAAAAGTGTGGCCAGAGATTAGTTAGAGGTATCCGAGTGCACACTTCCTGGGCCTTCTGTAGGAGAAGTCACAGAAGATGGAGTTGTTGCGTCCTGCCAGCCTCCATTAGCCTGAAAGGAGAAATACAGTTCAACGGGTGCACGTCTACATATTAATTCTACTCCCCAATTTAAAACACCCAGATGACAACATGAGAGCAGAGATGCATTAGCAAAATGTATTTTCTAAACCCACTGTGGCAGGAGTTGGCAGCATGTGTTAAAGTAGGATTAAATGCATGTAAAACAAATCCATCCCATCAAGTAAAGACTTGGCAATAAATCAACATGCCGAAGAAGGGCTTCAGCGAGGCCCATGCTGGCACCAAGCTTGGCCTTTGATCTGCTGGTAAAACTACAGTGTCTCAAAAAGAATCTCTTAAGAAGGGAGCAGTGGAGAAGCTCAATGCAATGCCTCAGCAAAAGCCTGGGCTCCATGAAGTCTAAACTTCACCCCGGCTTAATCATCATTTCCACAGAGAAGCAGTTGCCCACCCTTTTTCCATACACGCCTGATAGCCAGCTACTGTAACCCTTAGAAAGTGAAGGCCAGAATTTCCCTCCAAATGGGATCTTCCAGAATGAAAATGCATGAGCCGCGGAGCAGCGCACACTGTTAAAATCTGTATTCCAATTATCTGTGGCCGAGGCTGCTATTTGGGATGTTGCTCCTGCCTTCCACATGCTGCTGGCCCTTCCTGCCTCAGACCCGCAGCAGCAATAACTGTACTCAGAAACAAATTTGCCTTATGTCTTGGCCTATAGTGGCAATTGCTGAAATCAATGTCTTATCAGATTTCTGCTGTGGCAGACAGCTTGTCGCTACATATTTTTATGTCAGTCAAGAAGAGGGAGGTGCCAGCCTCGTGAGTTGGGGAACACTGAGTGGAAGTGACGGGGCAGGCCTTTCTGGAGAGGAGGCGAGGGTGAGCTGGCTCCCAGTGCCTGCAGCACCAACCGCCCTCTGCCTGCATGCTGCCCCCAGACCCGGAATCCCACACCAATGTCAGGGTGGATCATAAGGTGCCTCCTGCCTCCCTTACATCTACCTGCAGTTTCCTCTGCAAGTCCATCCGAAATGTCCTCTTTCAGGCCTGGGCTGCCAGGCTGCTGAGAACTCTGTCTAGATTCCCTGCCCAGCCCGGATATAGCTCCTAGATGAGCATGTGGCAGCCATTGTTTCTTCTCCTGTGATCATAGTTCCTGGAGAACTCCCTGTCTTCTGATTCACTGCAGAGTTCAGCAGGCAAAGCACTTTTTCTACCTCCATGACCCACGGAAAGGGAGGGAAAAACCTAACAACCCCACAGAGATGACCAGAGCCTAACGGAAGAGGATTTTCCAGGCTTGGGGCGTACCAAATTCAGGTTAAGGAAAACAAAAGGAAACAATATTTAAAAAAAAAAAAAAAAGCTACGGTGGTATTGTTCTAAAGCCTCTGTTGTGCCAGGCTGGTTAACGACATGCCCGCGTGTGTTCGGTGGACTCTCAGAAATCCTCTTCTCTATCTAAAAGGTAAGCTGTTTCCCCCCTCAGGTATGAAAATCTACTCAGGAAAAGAAAAACTCTCACACAGATACAAGTCTAAAGATATTCCATCTGAAGTAAACATCATTCCTCTTTTATCCAAATTTATAAACAACAAATGTACAATATTTTTACCCAGCGTGGCAGCTGGAGGAGAGGTTGTCAGCAAGCATTCTTTTTTTTTCAAAATAAATTAATCCTTACTCTGGTGGTTTGAGATTACGCACTGTATTATACAACAGCGCCTTATCAAGCCTCATCAGTGAAGATGGAATTCATGTCTGTAAAATGCTGCAGGCAATCACAGTTTCATATTTTATCATGTTGATAAGGATATCGCACATTCTCTGAAGCATTTCAAAACACTTAAATGAAAAAGGAGAAATGCAACTAAAAGGCTTTTTATATGGTTTGTTGTGGGTTATTATGAGTTATTTATAAGCCCAAAAAGAAAGATTTGACATTTCAAATGTAAAAGATTTGAGTATTTAATGGTCCTTTTTTCCCTTTACAATTGAACATCCTCAATCACTTTTTAAATCATTAATATTTACTCTCATAGCAAGCCAAGTCCCTAAAAAGGGAGAATTTTGCCCATTTTCTTCCTGAGTCTACTACCGTGAGTTGGGCAGTTAATTTCCTTCCTAAGTGTAGAACCCCAGACTCCATCCACCACACCCCGCAGCACCGACACGATGACCTGCCTCCCTGCCTCCTTCCCCTTTTCCAGAGCTGTGTGTTTTGCCATTTTCCATCCATGTCAGTGGAGGGAAAGGTAAAGTTGTAGTGAAGTAGTTACAGAAGTTAAAATCATTTCCTCCATAATTAAAGTTGTCAAATATGTTTTGCATCCCACATTGACAATACAGCAAGATGCTTTTAATAACAGAATTATTTGTTTAGCTTGGTTTGTTGGTCTGCCTGGGAGTCTCCAAACTTACCACCTTCACCTGAGTTCTGCTTCGGAATCTTTCCTGCTGCCTGATTCTAAGATAAATGACCTGTTTTCTACCGTCTCCCTGGAACACAGCACTGATGGTAGGAAATGGCATCTTAATGGGCTGATGCTTAAGTCCCTGCTGATGACAGGACACCAGCCACTTCTGGGCATCTATGACGACTTCTAAGGGTATCCAGCTGGCATTAAGCATTTAGGTTCTTAAAATAAACGTGCAGCAAAGATGCTGCCTTCCCTACCTGCCAATAAGATGAGAAGCCAGGTCAAATGGCTATTAATTTCTTTATTAGTCACTGTTTACCTGACACTGTGCTCCTACAGCTGGCTCCCCAGAGTACTCACATTTAAATTATGTGGACTGTACAGTGAATTTCCTCCAAGGCCATCACTGTAGCCTCCCGTCTGATTGATAACATGACGGAGGGTATCCACCTAGGTGAGAGAAAACAAAATTCATCATCCCAAATCTATTAAAACGTCATCACTTACAAAAGGAAATAATTTGAATTATGTGTGCCACAAGGGTTTAACATCTTCAATGAAAGACAGATTTATCAATCAAATGTGACTGGCAGAATTTCAACCATTCTTTGCATATTTAAACTCACAAATCTTTGTTTTTCATGCCAGCCAAACAATAACATCTTCATGGCAATGCAACTTTCCATCTACAGCAACCAAATGGATGTGGCTGTGGGTGAAAACCTACTTAGAATTGTGTATATGGAATTATCTCAACTCTCTCTCTCTCTCACTTTCTCTGTGTCTCATACACACACATCTAAATGTATAAAAACTGTATGAGTAGTTCTGTTCTCAATTAAGAGGACAAGAAAAGAGTAGAAATCATAGAGTTATAATTTAAGAACTCAGATTTTGTACTCTGACTTAAGAAATGAAACAGCAACATGTTCTTAAACCATATACACACTGGAACACTCAATTTTTCTGTTCTATTTTGTGACAAAAGTAAGATGCACCCAACCCCTCTCCATGAGCTCAAGCCAGAGCCGAATGCATTCACAAAGTTTATCAGGTTTGAATCATCACAAGTCACTGTTCGCTTGACTTCTCATTAAATTAAATGGTGGGGCAGACGGGTCCCGTTTGGAAGCACCCAGCACAGGTTCTGCATGGATGTGTAGACCACTTCCATAGGGTCAGAGGAAGGAGTTTTGAGCCCAAACCCTACCCTGCTAGAAAGGCCCCTCTGGGGCATCTCTCCTACCTGTGATTGCACATTGGCTCCGACTTGGGACCCTTGGTAAGAATCCCCATTCAGACTCTGCATGTTCATGAACATGTCCCCAGAATTTGGGAGGTTAAAAGAACCAGAAGAACCTGGAAAGGAAAGAGTTAAGTAGCTGAATAACAGAGAGCTACACACATAATCCTCAAAGACCTAGAGGCAGGGAGAGGAGAAAAAGTACAGAAGGGAAAGGCTGTGCGCAACATAAAGCATTTCCAGATCTAAGAGGATGGAGAGTAACTCCAGAGAGTTGGGTCCTGTGAGTCACTCTACATCTAGAAGTCCCATCAATGGGGAAGCCCAAACTTAAAAAACAAAACCAAAAATGAAGAGACAAATCAAAATAAATTAAAAAGAAAAAATAAACCAAAACACCCAGCAACTGGCCTGGACCCTTCCCCTTGTTTCCACTGATCTGCAGGATTTAGTCATGACACGAGCCTGTCAACAAGGCTAACTGTCACGGTGGACAGCCACCCAGAGAAGAGACTTTTCCAGGAACTCTTTCTTAGCTGTGCATATACCTCCCTCTCCTTTCGCCTGTTTTTATGTGCCATTAAAAAGAACTGGGGGGCGAGGAGACAAGACAAAACAAACAAAAAATCCCCTATTTTCTGAACTTCTAAAGATATATTTAAGAGACCTTCTCAGAAAAGTCCCTGGAATTGCTACTCAAGTCCATCTGTTTGGACTAGCTGCACATCTTTCATTGTTATTCAAGTTCCCCGAAACTTTAAAGTATTTCTAACCCCCTCACAAATGTCACATAAAATCCAGCCAAAATGTACCGGACAAGGATCCAAGAATCTTGCATGCGTGTATTAAGCACCATAACCCTCACAGTTAGCCACCTGCTGAGCATGCCGTCAGTCCTGCTCAGACAATGTTGCCGAAAGGCAGAGAAAGGACAGAGGCGCTGGGCAGAAAGCACCGCTGCACTTCCCTCCAGCATTCCAGCTTCCTCATGCACAGCAACTGCTGCATTTCCCACTTCTGCTATTTCACTCTCCACAGACCACTACTGACCCTAAAGTGATAACTGGAAAGAGATAGCTAAAATAGTCATGAGTGAGAGCACTCTGCCTAATTGCTGAACTGAAAGCCACTACTAAGTGTAAAAGTTCCATCATCTACTAGTGAGTGGCATTCACTGTGAAGAGTGGGTTTACAGGCTCTGGCCTTCCACTCATTCACCCATCTCAAGAACAAGCCTACATATGAATATAAATCTTCCTTTTTAAGTCCACTCTGTCCTCAGTATGGCTCTTGTTTCCTGGCCTGTGGGACAGGGCATTGTGGCATAAGGCTGCCTGGGCCAGCTGGGGAGCAAGCCCCTAGTACGCACCGGAATTTGGTGTGGTGGGCGAATTGGTCTGGTTGTTCTGCACAGCTGCTGCTACTGCGTGTGCAGCTGTCACGGCCGTCTTTGCAGCATAGAGGTTGGCTTCTTCCTGAAACTTGCCAATATTCTTCTTGTACCTGATTCGTTTGTTGCCAAACCAATTGGATACCTACAAATTACAGGGACATGGAGGTGAAGGGGAGAGAGGAAGAAAAAATGAAAATCCAATAATACCTGTCGGACACCAACGCAATACCACACAATTCCTAGCCTGCAACCTCGCATCCTATGGATCATGCATTATGGTTTTAGGGGTTATTTTCTCTTTTGGCAAAATTCTCACATTCTTTTGGAATAACACCGCTTTCTTAGAGTTGGCCACACTAATATCAAAATGGCAGGGAGCACTGCTCATAAAGACATCCAACTGCTATATACCGATTAGTATATAAATAGGCCCCCAAAATCAGGCTGAAAAGCTGAAGGAAATATTTGCTAAGTTAGGTAACTAATAAGAAATACTTGAACATGAACAACTTATTCTTCTTTTTTGGGTCTAGAATAATTTTGGCAGCTGTATAGTAGAATCATGTTTGGTCTGCTGAAAAGAGTAACATCAATTAATAATGGATGAAAAAACCCTTTGTCTTCTGCCTTAGCAAACACTGCATGTCTGCCAAGATGGCTGCTCAAGCTCTGCCAGTTAACATGTGGGAAGGTCACAACTTGAAAACTCAAGTAATTCCAATCAGGTCAAATGCAAACACACAGAGGAGCAACTCTAATGTCATCAGGTAGAAGATATTTATTTCTTTTGCAAACTTCTTATGATGTCAGCTGGTGCAAATGGAAGAGATTTCTACAAAGGATCTTGGCAATAGGCAGATTTCATCACATTTCAAGGAGAGCAGAACTCAGCCCCAGAATCATGGCTCACAGTTACAATGTGTTCAGGCACCTGTAATTGAGCTATATAAAGAAGCTAAAAGCCACACAGCAATTTATGAGAAAGTATACCCACTCGCTATATAAAAGGATCTAACCTCTCTTTTATTAAAGTAACAGTTTAAAAATACTTTTCAATAATTTCTTAATAATCTGTCAAAGGGGCATATTGCTGTGATATCAGGCTGGGTGGGATCATTGTTCTACCCTGAAGGTATTCTTCTT